GCGGGCGCGGGCGCGGGCGTCCCCGGACAGGTCGCCACCCCCAGGGGCGGCTTTTCTCCCTTCTGAGTCACGGGGGGCTCGGGGGACGCGTGCGACGCGGCAGCCGGGCCCTTGGTTTGGTCTGGACGCGCCATAGGACTGGACGCGAGCTGAGCGAGGGACTCGGGACCTAGTTCTGAGCTGGTGGAATGACGCCGGGCCACGCCTCGGTCCTCCCCGCGGGGTTGGTGGAGGTAGAGGCCGCTCCTACCACCGCGAGCCTGGCCGAGGCTTCCTGGAATCGCGCGCCCGGCCTGCCTACCCGGCCGGGGAGGGAGTCACGAACTGCCTGGTCTAGGAGAGGTCGCGATCCCTTGGATGCGGGAGCGGGGTTGAGTTGAGGCCCAAGCCTCCAGCGGAACTCGCTGTGTCCTCCTGGTGGATCTCGCCCAAGTGCAGGCTTTGAGGGAGGCGTGGCGTTCGCCCTGCGCGCCACGGGGAGGCGCTGGAGAGGGCGCGAGAGCCAGGGGCGCACGTGCTCTGGAGAGTACGACTCCCACTCAGCTGCCTGTCAGAAAGTCTGCGCGAGCCTGGGCACTGAAGCCGGGAAGGGCTTCCTATGGGGATTCATTTCTTTATGGGAAAAACGAAGGCGAGGAGCTACCCCGTCAGCATGACTGGGTTGAAAGTGTGCCCTTTACATGCCATCTGTGTGACTTTGAGCAAGTTCTGTAACTTCTCCGGGTCTCGTTTTCTCATCTGCAAAAGTGAATTAAAACACCTGTCTTATAGATGGGGTAGTGAGAATTAAATGCGATTTTATATTTTCAAGCTCTTAGAACTCACCCGTCTTCTGGTTGTTTAAATGTTAACTGTTAAGAAAATAGTAGTAAACATTTAATATTAATGTTAATTAACATCAGCATAGAATCTGACCAAGAAACAGCAATTAGAGCCCAGAAGAAATAAAGTTTAGTTTTATAAAGGATCTACAAAGATTTCATGCATGGAATTGGTGGAATTTGAGCTGAAACTTGAAAAAAATAGTATAGATGTCACTTAGTCATCCAGTAAGTTTCCTGAGCGTTTATTATGTGCCAGCTACTGTTCAAGCTTGAGGATAGTTCTCATTCAGTTTACCTGCTTAGGAAGCAGGCCACTAACGTCATGAGCATGGGGAGAATTTCCGATGTGTGGGGGAAATGGGGGTGGGACCTGCGGGGGAAGTGTGGCGCTGAAGCATCCTGAAGGTGCTGGGCAGGTGTCCTGGCCCTGGCGGAGGTGCTGGGAGTGCAGGGGTGTTCCGCCAGCGCGTGGGCAGCTTCAATTGGCTGCACATGACGTTTACTTCAATGCTACAGGCAAGTGCCGTGAACTTTTAAAAGCTCTGTTACATGGTTGAACTTGAACTTTTGGATGGGTGCGGAGGGAAGGGTGAAGTAGCAATGGCTGACATTTATTGAGTGTGCAATGGCTGACATTTATTGAGTGTGCAGGTGGTTCTAGGGTTTTGCAGCCACCCTGCACTGCAGGTCCTGTTGTTGGGTCCCTGTGTGCTGAGGAGAGGGAGAGGAAGAGCGGCTAGTTTGCTCAGGGTCACACAGCTGAGAAGAGGGGCACACTGCTGGCCCTCCCCTAGGCCCACCCCTGCTCTCAGTTCCCCAAGGCCTTCAGGTAATACTGCACACAGGACCGTCACACAGGCTCAACGAAGCCCTGCATTTTTGTGGGCAAATTTCATGTAAATTCTTTCCTTTACTTGAGAAAAAGTAAATCACTTTCTGTTTATTCCATTTTCACCTTTTTTGTAAGAACATAATAGCAATGACAGAAAAAGTGTCACATATAGTTTCACTTTTATTGGAGAAAAAGTAACATTTTCCACTCAATTCAAAACCCGAGCAGTTGGGAGCTTTTACTGGAGTGTGTTCTTTCCCTTCTCTGGCCCCCCTGTGCAGGCACCCCCATGCTCAGGGTGTACTGACTCTCATTGGAGAAGTGGGGTCCTCTTGTATGTTGACATGAGCATTCAGTGTCCAGCCGGACAGGCCCTGGGCACTCACACAGCAGTTTGGTTCTGCAGGGGGAGTGTTGAAACAAAGAACAGGAAAAGCAATTCTATGCAGAGAGAGTTTGGTTTATTTTTCTAAAAATACAGCTGACCCATCCACTCTTAACCCTGGCAGATGCCTCCTGTGGTTCAGAGACTGCTCTTTTTGCTTCCTCTTTCAGATCCTTGCAATGCTGATTAAGTTGACTAGGGTGATTAGAAAACAAAAACCCTGGGCAATTGTAGGCAGTGGGCAAGAGAAGAATGGACAGGCCTATTGGGTGAAGCTGGCCTTTCCAGTCCTTCCCCCCCCCCCTTTTTGTCTTCCTTCCCTGGGGTGTGTGAATCAGAGAAAGGTGACCTTTGCACCTTGAGCATTGTGAGCTAGAGCTCCTCTATCAGGAGGGTAGTCAACTAGAGCACCACAGAGCTCCAACTCAGTGGGCATTCATGTGTGTGGAATTGAGTTGTTTGGAGGTTTATTTGCTCCTGATAGTGTTGCTGTTTCTGGGCCTCTGTTTAATGGATGACTTTGTGGCCTGGGGGAGGGGAGTTCACTCTTTGTAACCTCCTGATTCATGATTCATTTCTCACACTTGCTGAGGAGAGGTTAACCTCCTTTTTCCTCCCACTGAGCCATGGATTGCACTATGTCAGGCAGGACATCTTAACCTGACTGCTCTGTGCTCAACTTTAAAACTGGGGGCGTACTGAGTAATCCTTTCTTTCCTTAAAATCCAGGGTGAGTCGTGTTGAAGAACTCACAGGCAGGTGCCTCATTGCCCCTCAGTTGCTGAGCCCAGGGGGAAAGGCTCTGGCTGGGCAGGCCTGCGCTTGCCCTTCTTTCTGTTACTTGCAAATTGTGTGGTTTTGCAAATTGGGCAACTGCAGTTAGGCAAATGGTTCGTACTTGAGGAGCAAAATGTGCTCGACTTTTTCTGTTTAGGCTTAGAGATGACTCACATGCGAATCAGAGCTTGGGCATTTCTGGTAAGGGGAAAGTTATGGGAAATTTGGAGGTGACTCTGGGGTCCCCTGGTAATTATTATTATTATTTTTTTAATAATTTATTTTTTAGTTATAAGTGTACACAATATCTTTATTTTATTTTTATGTGGTGCTGAGGATTGAACCAGTGCCTCATGCATGCTAGGCAAGCGCTCTACCTCTGAGCCACAACCCCAGTCCCCAATTTTTTTTTTTAAATATTTATTATTTTTTAGTTCTCGGCGGACACAACATCTTTGTTGGTATATGGTGCTGAGGATCGAACCCGGGCCACACGCATGCCAGGCGAGCGCGCTACCGCTTGAGCCACATCCCCAGCCCCCAATTTTTTTTTTTTAATGTGGTGCTGAGGATCGAACGTGGATCCCACCCGTGCTACTTGAGCGCTCTACCGCTGAACCACAATCCCAGCCCCATCCCCTGGTAATTATGATAGCTGTACAAGGTGTTATTAGCTTCGTAGAGTACTGCTGTTTCTGGGGTAACTTCACATGCTCAAAGTTCTTTTGAATAATTGTGGGTCATCAATTCAAGCCCTTGTTGGACAATCCCTTGGGCGTGGCACCTGGCTGCCTGGAGCCAGCCCATGGATTTGAATCACTTTCCCTCCACACTAGGCTAAGCTTCCTGAGGCCCACCTTGTGCCAGGTGCTACTAAAAGCACTTTACATATTTCAGTTTTTTAAATTCTCATGATGTCTTTTATGAGGTCAGTGTTGCAGGTGACAAAATTGAAGTGCACTTGTGATAAGTAGCCACTAAGGGGGCTCCAGTGCTGCCCCTCCCTTTAGTGAGGGCTGTTCTTGCTTTCAACGTAGGATGGGGCCAGTAGGATGGGGCCTGCATGATAGCCTGTCACTTCTGAGATTAGGTTACAAAAAGACTAGGATTTTTGTCTTGCTCTCCGTCCTTTGTCTCAGCTTGAGCTGCTGAAACAAAACACCACAGACTGAGTGGTATGCACAGCAAACGTTTAGAAGTCCAAGATCAAGGTTGCGCGGGATTCACTGTCTACTAAGGGCCTGGTTCAGTCCTTCAGGGTGTTCTGAGGTGGCAAGGTGGGAGGCA